TACACGTGATTATTACTCTTGTCTCAGGGGTAAGAGTTAAGTTACTTTGATGATTGGACTTTGTCACTATGGCCGATGGGCCCTCTTTTCCTTACCCGCTCCGATTTCCCGGCTGGGAACTAGCTGATAGTTGACATTCTGATTGTCCTTAGGGGATTAGATCAATATAGCTTATTAAAGCCCAACTGGGCTAATATAAGCATAAGCAATTAGCATTTAAGCACTCAACTTCAATTTCAGCTCCCGCGCCATGAGGGAAGGACGTCTCTTCAACGAGCTGCCATATAATTGCTTATTCCACCATCTGCACCGGCAATCAAGATCTTCAAGCAAAGTTATCAATTTGTTCGCCTAGAATCACATCTCCCGCAGATTTTTAATCTGCCTATGAATATTTTCACCGCGTTCCCTTTTATTATTTGCACTATCCAACACAAGCCACATGCCAATGAGCCTATTAATCGTAAACTCTTCCCTATCCGCTTTTGGTTGATCTTTACAATATGGTAACTGGTAGTTTGACGACATTTTGGAGGCGATAAAGGTTACTACCTGAGACTTTGGTAATAATGTGAGCAGTACTCAGTTCCGATTACGCATTATTTTGTGTGAGGGAAATGAGAGATCATGGGATATGTCATGTGATATTAATGGACGAATTACGGTTCTTTAATCGGAAAAGGGGGGAATCGGGAAATCGAAAAAATCTGGAAATTTTGTATTTGGCTTTATTCTGTGTTGTGTGAAACAGTGTTCGTGAATTTTTGGATCCCATGGCCGTAACTAAAGTGAATTCGAAATGGGTATTTATGTATGTATTAATTTAATGTATGTGCTCATTTATATTTTAAGTAGTGTTTTTGAATTTAATTATATTTTAATTAAATGATAGTTATTTTGTGAATTTTATGTTTGTAGGAATTTGGTATACGTTTTAGTTGAAGTAAACGTGCATGGAAATAATTTAAATATCTGACACTAAGTATTTGTAATGGTTGCGGTATGAATTCGTTGGTGACGTGTATAATGTAATAGATGATTTAGAGGTAAAAGTTTTTGGATATTTTATTTATTTTATATGTGGAAATGTTCATATTTGGAAAGGGTAAATACTTTTTCGCGAACAGGTAATTTCATATATGTTTCTTTTACCGGGTTTAAAGATTGAGAAAATTGTCATGTATTTTCGTGAAATTTTTCTAATTTATGAGAAAAAAGCAGTGTACATGGATATAGTGAAGAGTGTGCGCAATGCCATTTTTGTGCAATTCTGGGATTTTTTTTAAGTAAAAATAAGTCGGCGTGTACATGGTTTAGTGATATTTTAATTAAATGATAGTTATTTTGTGAATTTTATGTTTGTAGGAATTTGGTATACGTTTAAGTTGAAGTAAACGTGCATGGAAATAATTTAAATATTTGATACTAAGTATTTGTAATGCTTGCGGTATGAATTCGTTGGTGACGTGTATAATGTAATAGATGCTTTAGAGGTAAAAGTTTTTGGATATTTTATTTATTTTATATGTGGAAATGTTCATATTTGGAAAGGGTAAATACTTTTTCGCGATCAGGTAATTTCATATATGTTCTTTTTACCGGGTTTAAAGATTGAGAAAATTGTCATGTATTTTCGTGAAATTTTTCTAATTTATGAGAAAAAAGCAGTGTACATGGATATAGTGAAGAGTGTGCGCAATGCCATTTTTGTGCAATTCTGGGATGTTTTTTTAAGTAAAAATAAGTCGCTGTGTACATGGTTTATGTGTATGTGTTATTTTGAAAAACGCGTAAGGAGTATGGTATTGTGCACTTTTTCCCAATTTTGCAGTGAATATTTGTCATGATTAAGCAGTTTTGTTAGATAAAATTTCTAGCATAAATGTAATTCGGCTAGTAGATTGTTGGAAGAAGTGTTCAGTAGATAAAAAGAAAAGAAACATGTCTTTACTTCGTGAAGACAAAATGGCGGCGGGAAAAAAAAATAGAGGGTTGCTGTAGGAGAGTTGGTCGCCAAATTTTCGCCAAAAAAACGCCAAGTTACCATAATGTAAAGATCAACCCCGCTTTTTGCTTTAGTGTTTGTATCGTGTTAAAAAAATTATAAAAACCAAAAAAAGTATAAAATATAAAAGTACAAAAAAATTAGGAACTACTCTGATATGCGCCCTCAAGTCGCCAAATTTCTCGCCAAATATTTTTGGCGAGAAACTTCACGCTGCCATATTACTATCTAAATATTTTGTCTACATTTTGAACTTTTAGCCTAAAATGTCTCCAAAAACGCGGTTTTCGCACATGCAAAAACTACGTTTTGAACACACAATTTAGGTAAAAATCCGAAACAAAAACAAAAAATTTAGATAGCAAAACGTAAAGTTTCTAACCAAAAATATTGACAAGAATCCATGTACACAGCGACATGTTTTAACTTAAAAAAAAAATCTACGAATTGCACAATGTAGGCAACGAACGAATCTACAAACTACGCATACCTCGCTTTAATAAATTAAGATAATAATAATTAAATTTCAAAGAATACCATGTACACAGCATCCTGTTTAAACTTAAAAAAAAATTCTACGAATTGCACAATTTAGGCAAGGAAGGAATCTACGATCTACGCACTCCTCGCTTTAAAAAATAAATAACAACAATAAATTTCAAATAATACCATGTACACAGCGTTCTGTTTCAACTTTAAAAAAACATTTACGAATTGTACAGTGTAGACACTAAACAACAAAATAAACTAAAATAAATTTCAAACAATTTAAAAAAACAACAATAACGACAGAAATTCATATAAAGAACCAATGAACATAACAGTCTACAAAATAAGAACAAGGATAAAATAAAATGCACTTACCATGAATTAATGCGTTTTCGAATAGCAGAAATATAAATTTCATACCGCCTTTAACATGCCGCCACGTAATCACTATTGTATTTACACGACAGCCAGACACACTATCCAGAAAATTTATACTATGGTTCACAAATAAATAAAATCACAAATCCCTACTTCTATCATGCACTGCCATTAAAAATAATCTCCCAGACCCTCTTTCCACACTTCGAAATACCCACTACCCCTCAACAGGATAGCCACAATCATATTTCCTTTTGCCGAACTTCAATTCAACAACTACCATTTTATCTTTCCCTCCCATCTTCTCAGACACAGATGCGAACCAACGAGCTCCAGTGAAAGATTTTTCAATGTCAACAGGGTTGCCATAGAAACCCTGTTGCGCCAAAAACCAGCGCAGAACACATATCGCCACATTTGGTGAAATTAGGGCGTATATTAGAGTTGTACCAAAAATTATAAAAACCTAAAAACTTATAAAAAAATTATGATGTTTAAGTTTTTAATTTCTTATTCCTATCCCTAAACTTTCTGGAGCCTGTGGCTCCCTCTATTGAGCATCAAGTAAATTACTTATGCAAAATTTTTCCTATTTCTGCTCACTTTTAGTAATTCTGATGTGGAGGTACATGGTTTTGAACCATAGGCACTCCGAAACTTGCAAATCATTGGCATTGGCAAAGTGATCAGTACGAGTGTTGGCTAGTGAAGAAAGGCTAGCGTAGAAAGTGAAATAATGTATTCCATTGAACAACATTTTTTTTGGTTCTGCAATTTCACCGATTAGAACACAGTCCTACGGCAACACGTCGCAGTTTTCAAAACCGATTCAATGCTCCAGTTGAACCCGATGCGAAACCCCATTCGCATGCTTTTCGCGAAATTCGAACGGACTGGCAGCGTGGCTGATGATTGAAAGGGAAATCTTGGGCCTAGGCAAACTGTAGTCACTCCTGAAAATGCAGTCAAAGTTTCTGGAATTGTAAAGTAAAATCCTAGGAAAATCATCCGACGGATTGCATCAGAGACAGGTTTGAAGTACATGAGCACGCAAAAAATATTAAAAAATAGCCTACGGCTGTTTCCATACAAAAATCCAAAGTCATCAGGCCATACCCATGAAAGCTGTGCAACAAAGGGCTGACTTTGCGAATCAGATTCCAACAATGGTCGACAAAGACAGATTTCATGTGAGCTGCATCTGGTTCACACATGAGGCACATTTTCATTTGAATGAAATCGTTAATAAAAAAAACTGGAGATTTTGGGGTTCCGTAATGTGAAGAAAAAGCACTGCATTCGCCTAAAGTTACTGCATGGGCTGCAGTATGCGCCAGAGTCATTATCGGACCCTTTTTCTTACGAGAAACGATAGCTACTGAACGTTATGTTACAATTTTGGAACAATTTGTCAGCACTCAACTAGCGTTGGAGGATCGACCAGGTATTGACTGGTTCACGCAAGATGGGGCTCGACCACATCGAACAGATAAAGTTTTTCGCTTTCTTCATGAATAGTTTGGGAATAGAGTAGTCGCGTTAGATTATCCGCAATTTACTGACACAGAAATAGCTTGGCCTCCATATTCTCCCGATCTGAGTCCCGAAGACGTAATGTCAAATTTCATTCTTCGTTTACGCCACCTCATTGTTTCGAACGGTGACGATTTTGAAAAAATTGTATTTTGATTGCAAAGGCTGCTTCACTTTATTTATTTATTTTTATACACTTTTCAAGAAAAGAGTTTTCAGCGCAGAGCGCCATCTGTTAACGATTTTCGTAACTAAATTTCTAAACTTTTGTACACAATTTTTACAGTTTTGCTAATGAACGTACAGTTTACCGCATAATTCTATCGATCTTTGTTGTAGAGATATTTAATTTTGAAATCAGGGCTTATTCGCTGATCACCCTGTATGTACCCTACATAAAGGAAAGTCATCAGCGCAATGAAATTTTAATCATTATCGCATCGCAAATAAGGAACACATCTTTATTATTTAACCTACTTGCATTATAATATTTAAATTATACAAACTTGTTTAGAGGCCGCTCTTAGGTGAATGTGCTAAAATACAAGTATAACAAATGTTATTGTGAAAAACAGAATATTGAACATAGATTTACCAAACGCCTTCTTGGCTAAACAAATCGCGTTTCTTTCTCCATCCAGGGAATCTATAACAACAATTTCTCCTGTCCTGCTTTTTCTGAAGTATTTGTTTTCTGCAATGCATGTGTATCGTCCAGCATCTCGAGAAGTAGCACAATCAATATAGAGCCGAGATCGTGTTAAACCAATACCTAACTTATATGGCACCATTTCCTCCTCTTCGCCGTGCATAGCTTCGTATAAACTCTGAAATTAACAAAAAGGTAAAATAAAAAACTCCATTATTTAAATATGAGTTAGAGGATAATTATGTATCGATATCATGAGTCTAAATGAGGCGAACAACTTTTCGTACATTTTCTTAAAATTAGCTTCATCAAACTTAAGAATAACTCCAGTTGGATAAAAATTAACCGGTACTTTTCCGTTTTGCCGGCGCCATTAATGGTACAACTGATGCCAAACGGAATATCCTCGCTGATAACCTTTTACGCCTCATTTTCAAAACAAGTCACAGCTATTTCTTATCACATTGATTGTTTCTTTCAATACTGGCATGCAATTACATAGAATTTTTACCAGATAGTTCAATTTTATGCCTTAAGGCCATTCGCAGTAAGCCATTTAAATCAATTAGGATGTAATCACAGTGCTCACTCGAAGGCGAAAATATAGAAAAGGTAAAGTCAAGGATTAAATTCATCAATTCTAATGAGAATGCACTAGCGAAGTAAAGCACTGCGGTTTTACACAATTTCTGAGTAAGCTATTCGTACGAATTGAAATAATTCTTTCATTTAAACTTGTATTCCAAATTAAGATTTATCTTGAAATTAATTAATGTAGATAATTAATGTAGATAAATTAATGCAGATAATTACTGAGAGACTTAGATTTTTGTAGCGTAGTTTACGCCAGATGAGATCACTTGGGTCACGTGATATGAACCGGCGAATCAGGATGCTGAACCATAAAAGCATAGTAAATTCTCAAATTAATGTCTTTTTACAAATTTATTGCATTTATTTATTGCCTTTACACAAAATTTTAAATGATATTAAAATGTTTATGCTTTCAAAATAAAAAATTAAGAACTAACATTTGTTAACTTTTTTTTATGTGTATACTGTATGTTGTCGCCAATAAAGTCTGCCTGGCAAAATTTGCGCCGGCAAAACGGAAAAGTATCAAATAACCTTTGATGTTAATATCTCTTTCTTTCTATGATACACATTTACGTTCTAATTTAAACTCGAAATTAGTATTTTTTCTAGTCATTACTTGGTGGGCATTGCATAGTGTGTATACCAGTTAAAACAAAAAAGTTACTCTAATTTAAAGTTCATCGGCATACTTGGCGTTGCTATTAGAAATATATAGAATATGATATTCAATTTAAGAAGCCTTAAGTAGCGCTTTCTTCCCTGAACAAAGAAAAATTCAGATTTCAAGCTGAATATGCGGTGTTCTTCACTGGAAAGCTTTGAAACAATTATCAAAATGCCAGATTTATGCAAAAAATATTCGCGGTGATTCATGCTAACGTAGATGACTAGAATAATGTATGCTGTAGAGACTAGAAAACTAGAATTTTTTAAACTAGAAAACGTAATTGAAAACACGATCTTCCGATTGTTAGTCCAACGTGCTCTCAATTGTATCATGAGAGTATGCATGATAAGGCGATATTTTCTTATATATTTTCCCTACCTGAGAGGCGATTAAGGAAGGAAGAATGAGACACATTTCAGCTTTTGTAGGCAGTGACGAGTTCCCACCAGCAGCCGAGCGGTAAAATTGTTGAACTCTGGTACTTCCGACTTAAGTTCGAACCGGTTTGAACGGGCTGGCTACGTGAGCGTTTTCGTTGTTTTCCACATGTGTAACGTGTATGCGAACCAGTTCCTTTAAAAAGTCCTCAACGAAGGCGTCCCTTCCCTTAGCTAGATAGCCCTAATATGCTTTGCTATAATAAACTAAACCAAAACCAGGCAATGGCGAATTATCGAAGTCCATATTTCAATCCAGACGCCAATGTATAGGGATGTTTATTTTTTATAAGTCTATAAATGTCATAAATCGGATATATTGTCGAACCACGACTAACCAGACAGACATGCTGCCACTTACACCACGGGAGCACGTACAGGTGAATGCTGTATTTCCTTACAATAATATATTAAAACGTATGCTCGTGTAATAAAAAACAGAAAAAGTTAAGGATTAAACTCCCTGGAAAATACATTTAAGCCTTCGCCCGGAGATGAATATGGAATCTTTTTCGTGCCCCACCAATATGTTACCCGTTGAGTCACCACAGCAGATGGGAAAAATAAATTCATTTCTTGCATTCCCCTTACACGTAAAGGTGAGTAGGGACAGCCGGACTACACTCAATTCAACTTCTCTAATTAGTTATCTCTCTTTTTACTTCCGGGATCACACTGTTATATCGCAAGAGCATAAGAGGACAACCAAATTGTTGCATAACAGAAGCACATCGGAGTAATGACTAAAATTGAACAATGGTATGATTACTTCTATCCAGATAAAATCATGATTTTTTCCCCTCCAGCATCCGGGAATTAGCTCGTTCAACAACTACAAATTAATACAGTTATTATAACTTTCAGAATGTTGAAATGCAGAAAAAGAATGAAATAATAATAATTTATATTTTTGGACAATTTTGAAACCCAATATAACAACAACCTTTATATAACAACCCAATATAACAATATAACAACAAAAGTTTTTAGTAAATATTAATGATTAATTTATATACAAATTTAAGCTTCCTTATAATAAAAAATAAGAAAAGCAAAGTTTGAAAGTGTTTTAATATGTTTTGTAGCAAGCTAACAAAAGCAATCGAAATTTCATTATATTATCCATGTAGGCGCTCTGAGAGAGAGATTTTATTCCTATATCACAGTATTTGTATGAATAATATTGTAAGCTACAAAAGAAGGAAATATTGGGAAAGTTTTTACTCAAGACGTTAACATCATTATGTATAAGAAACATAACATCTATATTTTTTGAAGTCCTCTAGTTTCAAACATAGATGGGGAGCAAAAATTTTACAATGGAAATTTATTTCACTGTGAAGTTTTGAATAAAATCCATATTTTTAAGGTCTCTTTATAGAAACCTAAGAAAGAAGAGTATGATACTCTAGAGTTAGGTCTATTATTGTGCTTTAGGTTAAAGCGAGAATGGAATTTGTTGCAAATAATTCGCAAGTGCTTTGCGTTAATTGAATGATGCAGTCAAGTTTTCTGACTCGGATGCATTTTATTCGTTTTAAATCACTCTTAAAAATGATACACGAACAAACGTTTTGTCAGTTACCAGCTTAAAGTAGATTGCAGTACATTCAACAAAGAGTTCAAATTGTGACGGGATTTTATTTTGTAGATTTCTCATTAATCGGTATTATTCTTATTCAACATTTGACATGCTGAATAATAATAATAATAATAATAATAATAATCTAAAAAAACAACAACTTAAGAATAATAATCTAAAAAATCAAGTGAAACAATTGAGATAATTACGAAAATTTTTTTGTTTTTGAAAACGAAACGACGAAATATTTTCCAGCTTCAAAGTTTGAGACAACATTAAAATTTAAAGAAATGTGCAGTATATTAGATGCATATTATTATTTATTAAATACGACAAGCCAAAGTAATAAGAATTAAACATTGCGCCGAAAATTTAAATTGCATAAAATTCCTGAAAGGTTTGAATTGTTAAATTATATTCTTACTATTAGTAAAATATTGTGTAACGCATGCTCCGAGGATGAAGCTGTTATGTTTCTTTGGCAAAAATGAACAATCTATTTAGAATTTCTTTCTCTTGACTAGCATAATGAAACTTAATACCCTAGTTTCGATTTCTTACTTTTCCCTTAAGTTTAGCTCAGAATGTTTTCTACCCTATTATTTCTGTTTTACCCTTTTACCAGAAATTCGTTTCCTAGATAAACTCTTAAACCGAAGTCAAAAAAAATTTTTTTTTTTGCTTTCCATTACTTTCCTTTCATACTTTATAGTTGCGTCATTTTGCAGATTTCCAGAAAATCTTCGAAGAAATTATTCAATAGAATTTCTAGAGTTTCATTGAATAGTTTCGTTCGTAAATAAGAAAGAAATGTTCATAATAGAAATGTTCGTAAATAAGAATGTGTTTTAAGGTCACTTCGATAGCTGAAGAAGTCATCATTTGTATGGTGATTCGTATTAGACGATATTAAAAGTTAGGATTCTCGTAATACTAAGTTAATAAAGAAATATCTGCTTGGAATTAACTGTAATATGTAAGTAAATATTCTGCAAATTTTTAAAAGTTCTTTTTAAGTTCTTTATAAAGGTCGAACGTATTTGTAACTTACTATAAAATAATGTCTTAATGGACATTCAGGACAGTTTCTGTTTGGGAAATAAAGAAATGTTTACCTGTGCGATTCTTTTTCCATCTTTTAACCAGTGAATGGTTGGTGAAGGAGATCCTCCAGCTTCACATTCGATGAATTTAGCATCACCAGCAGTAATCTCCATGATTTCAGCAGGTCCGTTGCGAATGCTAAGATTAGGCTGGAGAAGTCTTTTGAAGAAACCTTTTGAAGCAGCTAAATTATAAATACAATTGTTAGAGTAGAGGAAAAGTGCAACTAAAAGAAGAGAAAATGAATTATTAAATAGCAGTTTTGTAGCTTTGTATTTAATTATCTCAGCCATCGCAAATTTCACTTGAGACATATTATTCTTCTGAAAATTAGAGCAAAGTATATCTTTGTGGGACGAACGTTTGCTTATTATTTGCAGTCAAATACTCACACAGCGAAAACGAAATGAGTTTTGACCACTTTTTTATTTTACAGCCTTTTACCTGAAACATGAGTAAACAAGAGTAAATGATAAAAAGAATTTAAAACAGTAAATGTGTCTGATGTAAAAGTATTTTAAAAGAATAAAATTGTATATTATGATGATAAATATAATATTTTAATTAAAGTAACTTCTAATGCGGTTTAGTTCTATCATATACTGAACTGTTCTGAAACGACATGCCTATTTTTTTCCTATTTTGAATTCTACGACTCAAATTATGCATAAATATTAAATTTTGTAAAATTTGGAGGGAAATTTACGGAGAAATTCAAAAATTTGTCTTGGTACATTTTTTTCAGGTTGTACCAAGAACAATTTACTTGTCGAACTTCTTAATTTCCAGCAACCTATTTTCCTTTCATTTTATTTCATTGTACACTAGCGGGAAAAAAGTCATCGGTCATACTTTCAAATAATTTTAACAAAGGGCGTAAATCACAGTTGGCGTTATTATCACTCAAAAAAAAAAAAAAAAAAAAAGGATGCGAAATTTCAAAACGCGCTAATATGTAAATTCATGTATACCTTAGAAAATTATAAACAGAAAACTCTAATATTTTGCAGGTGTGCCTAGAAATAAATCTACTTTAAGATGATGTAAAAATTTTTATAGATTATAATAAAAAATTTTTTTGAAAAATTTATAAAAATATTTAAAATACAAATTCAAAAAATAAATCATAAAAAATGGGCGAATTATATTTGGATAAAGCCTAAATTTCGAATTCTGGAAGAAGGAATCAAACACGTTTAATAAAAAAAGAAGTGTTGATAAATATATATCAAATTCAATTAAAATGAAGAGACTAAAATTTTGAGTGCTAATGTTTTGAAAACTGCTCGTGCGATTTTTACAAAACTTAGCGGTTTGGCATAATTTCAGTCGTGGAATCGAAATATAGAAAAAAACTTGCATGTCATTTCACAAAAAGTCCGATCTTGTGTCAAAATACCCATATTAGAATAAAGCTATATATAAATCTAATACATATCCTAAATCGCGCTTTCGAAACATGAAAAACGCAAGCTGAATTTCGTCAATCGGCCCAGTAGAACGGGAGATACAGAATTGTTTCATTTTTGTTTTCTGCAGCGTACTTCAGTCAATGATAATGCCAGATTTTCAGCAGGTTTACAACTGCACACAGTATCAAAGCGCGTTTTTTATAAACACTGTAAATATCTCTGTGTAATATTGAATATATTTCTTAGATCCATAAGGACTAATAATATAGCTTTAACACGTTGAAATTTCTATGGAATTAAAAACAATGTATGTATATTGGTCTTTCACGGTGACATATATGTATATATATGTATATGTCACCGTGAAAGACCGAAATTGGAGAATGTCGACTTTCACCGGAGAATGTCAACATTCACCAAATGCGTTAGTGAAAGATCGAATATTGCATTACATTCTTGTACATTCGGACCCTCACCGGCGTATGTCGACAATCACAGATATGCTTTGGTGTAGGTCGAAAAGAAAGGAGTATATGTACATGCTGTCATTGCAAAAGGAAGTGTTCCACAAATAAATGCAGTTCTAAAAGCAAGGGGGCCTCTTGTGCAATTCAAAGTGTCCTAACAGTTTAAGTTGTTGCAATATGTCAGATTTGAATCACATAATTTAGTAAGTTTTTCACTTCTGTTATTTTCCTTTCTCATTTTGAATGTACTGTGTGTTTTAAGTTCTTATATTCTTAAGTTCTTATTTTAAGTCTCATGTGCGTTTTTTCGAGACTGTTGTAGTCAGGGTTCGAGTGAATTACGGAGAAGAAAATATAATATTCTTATATGTTCAACATTCCCCATTAGCACATGGTGAATGGCGACATTTACCGGTGTAAGTCAGAAATAAGAGTATTTGGAAAATATTTCGGACATACTCCAAGCGACTATGTGAATGTTGACATTCACCGGTGAAAGTCGACATTCTCCAGATTTCGGTGTTTCACCGTAACATATACATATAGTACAGTTAACAGTGATATGTTGTGTGGGTTACTTCGCAGAAATATAACCATTGTCTTCTTCTGACAATTCTGAAAATATGTTATTTCTTAGGCTAAATATTAGAACGTAACGTCTACAGAACTTATATTTTTTGCATGACTACATACAGGTTATAGATTTCTCTATGATTTATTACGCAATGTGGAAACGCATTCAGAGCATTTAACAGTTTCGTAAAAACAAAAATGTTAAAATAGACGAATTCAACAATCAACATCAAGCCTTTCTAAAAATTTCTCAGCTGTGAATTTTCCTGATTTTTTCCTTGCAGTAATGAAAGGGGAACAGAATATTCCTTACTAATTTCTGTAAGGGCAGTATTTATCATTTCAGTTTTATTTGCATCTTTTCCTTTTCGTAATTATGATCGTAGATCTATTTTTACGTTTATTTCTTATTATGTAGAATCGTACTTAAGCCTACACTCATTTTCATTTAAGTTATCAATATCGGATTTTTGTTTGAGAGCACTGTACATTTTACATTTCCTGAAATTTATTTCACTGTTTAGAAAAGGATGAAGAAATGAAATTTGGCGCATACATAGAAAGTAAAGACTGCAAATATAAATGTTTTAAACTAAAAGCGTAATAATTTAATTTCATTACTAGCATTATTAAAAAAATTTAATTTTACTTAAAATTTATTAATCTATAACTATTACAAAAATGTGAATAAATATTGAGGAATAAAATATCTTCCAGTTAAAATATTCTCTTTATTGTCTTCCCAATAATATGTTATAAGGATTTTATTTTAGTAGTTCTTTTATTGTATATTAAATGATATTATTATAATGATAATGCAGTTGAAAGCCAAGATTTTTCTTAGCAGATTTTTTTAACAAATAGTTGAAATTATTTAAAATACTAATTCAAATTCTAAAATGTTTTTCATTGATAGTTTTAAATTTATGTTATTTGGAGATGGTATATGGTTTTTTTATTATAAATTATTATGAATTCTAACATAACAGCTAGTTTGATTCTCTCGTTCGTATAGCAACGTAAAAAAACATTTTATTTCGTTTAATAATATTTGCTTTCATACCCATTCTAATTTTAAACGTTTGGTTAAATAATTCCTGCAAAGCAAAAAATGTAATACAAAGAAAATGTTACTGGAAGAATAAGGTAAGGGTGCAATAATAATAACAAGCAATTCTTGCTGCAGCATTATTAGTTCATAAAAAGCTCAGGGAGTTCCTAAATAGCAAATACTGGAAAATAATAATAAACAAGCAATTCTTGTTGCAGTATATTAGTTCATAAAAAGCTGAGGGAGTTCCTAAATAGCAAATACTGGAAAATAGTGATTGCTGGTATAAGTGGATATATAGACGATTAAGGCACTAGAGGTAGTCATTCCCTCTAGGCAAGCATTTATGATTTTGTTTTGAAATATTTAGTAAATCGTACAAATAATACTTAATAATAGCATAAGGAAGGCAGTAATGAAATAATAATGCTGAAAATAATACCTAATGAGTGTTAAAGTTGTTAATGAAATTTAAAATTTGGCAAAAGAAAAGTAACCTTAGATTGACGTAGACATTGAAACTGAGTCGCGATTCCGTAAAATAAAAAAGCTTTTACCCAGACGAAAACATATCTACCTCTAAAAAACGTAGACACGCGAAGAACATTATTTTGTCTTCTATTTGATATTATAATGAGTTCATAATTACATTGCCAAAAGATCCAATTATCCTAACGATTTTATAAAAGAAGACTGTAATGTAATAGGTGTAACTTAAGAACTATCTTATAATTGAGCTTGAAAGAATAATTATTTAAGATCATTGCCTGTAAAGGTGTTAAAGTTCTTCGTAATTACTATGCGCAAGTTGCTTAAATTTGAAGCATTTTAAATAATTCTATAAAATGTAATGAAAAACTGAATTAGATCCTTAATTTAATAACACCAATTATTAATTTCAGGAATTAAAATAAACATAATTAATTTATCTTAGATGAGGAGAAAATAATATTTTTTTAAATTTCTATATTATTTAATACTTAACTATATCTTTATAGAAAATTATTTTTTAAGTAATATTATATATATATATATGTGTGTGTGTATTAAGTTCTAAGAAAAATCTGAAGCGAGCTATAGAAAATATCTGAAAATATAATGCAAAATTCATTTAAGCAATAGATAAAACTAAAAAACAGCTGCATATATGAAACAGCTCTAAGAATGACACAGAAAGCAGTCTTAAAATTTTATTGCCGATGAAATCTTTGGTGACGTTAATACTTAATGTCTGACTTCGAATCTTTATCTTTGTAAGAACAATTTTATTAAGGTTATATTGTGCGAAAATAAAACAAACGAGTTGCCAGACTGTAAAATTGATAATATCTGAAGGGCCCGGGTTGAACTCGGAGAAGACATAGGGAAATAATTGTCTTTCCCTTCATAGGAGGCAAGTTAACCCATAAAAAGTTCTTAAGAAACAGAACAGCATCTAGGCAAGTTAGGAATTTTGATTGAAATAAATAATGAGTCGTTTTTCGAATACAGAGTTATAATCTGTTTGAAACAGTTGATTAAGGATTGTCAATTGTGTTAAAATAAACAAAATCAAAAATTTTAATGTTATCGCTTCAATTCGTAGGAAAGAATTATGTTAAGGTCTAAATAAAAAGGTCCCTTCAAATAGTTTTCTGAAATAAAGATAAACATTCCAAATACCACATTCAAAATAAAATTG